TTCTCCCACAAACCAGGGAATGTTACCAGTTCGTTGGATGGCCCTTGAGTCTTTGGACTTCTTCACATTCAACACGAAGACAGACGTGTAAGGCATAATTTGAGAAATCTTACGAGAGCGAGTCCATTTTATTGTCCATTTCGTTGTTTTCATAAATTGACATGTCTTATTTGTCTTTAAATGCTTAAGTTTCGAGCTGGTGCAATACAGAAATCCCGTGTTGCATTATGTCTAGCAAATAGGTTCAATGTTGCGGTTGGTCTGTTTAGTAATCACAGATGACGTCAAAATGTGGTGAGAACAAAAAGTGACACACGAAGTTCTTATCACATTTTGATGGTTCCTGTGACTCATAAATAAACCGAACAACATCAACATGGAATATATTTATACCACAAAAAACCTTAAATGTTGTTGATTTTACCGTCATCTCTACCCATGTCCTCCAAAAGATTATTGTTAGAACTAATCGTAATGCGCCGAAAAATTCGGCCGATCATATTCAAAACAATTGTGCATCCTTTAACCAAGTAGGAACGAGATGATTTGTCGAGGAGACGAAAAACTGCGGGAAATGGAAAGAAAACTGAGATTTGCTGAAAACGTATTTGTCGTTATTGCCCTTAGAGACTGCTACGAATAAAAATTGAGAAATTTTTGAAGGAGTTATCGTCTTATTATATTTTAAAATTTGGAAATCAAGTGGAAAAAAACATCATTGCGCATGATATTTTTGATAGGTGGTCGTTTGGAGTGCTTCTATGGGAGATCGAGTCAGAAGGTGAATGCTTTAACTTATATTTGATAGTCAGTGCATCATTATTACTTCCCCAAGTGTTATTTAAGTGTCCCACTCTATAAACTGGACTAAGTTCATTGTGCCCTCACTAGTACGTTTTTTTTTTCTTATCATTCCTTGTCAAGGTATAATGCCATATTGCGAACTTGGAGGAGCAATGGAAATCATCGAATATCTACAGTCAGGACAAATTTTAGCGAAACCGGATGGATGCCCAAATGAAATGTAAATAATCTTTCAAAGAATGAAAATCAGCTCTTATATAATGGCTCGCATTTGATCGTGGGCTGGCTGACTAAACTTAATCTTTTCCTCTAACAGTTACGATATAATGAAGTCCTGCTGGGATCTGGATCCGATGAAACGTCCATCATTTGTAGATCTTTTGGCGTCACTAGAGAAAGAACTTACTAAAACAAAAGACGTAAGGAAATAATTATCATGACTGGTTCTGTTGATGATCATGCGCGAATTAGTACAAGGAAATGGATGGGGGAGTTGCTCTTCACCGCTATCAAAACGTATGCTCAATAATGTCTGTTTAATGTTTTTCCCTTCTAGGATCTGCTGAAAGATAAGAGCCTCCTAGTTAATGAAGCAGGGTGGTACTTCAGATAAAAACACGGCCATGCAGTGTAATGGAGTCACTGTTGTTACGTTCCCTTGTCGAGGGAGAGGGAAAAGTTAATAATTAGGAATTAACAATAAATCCCTCACACTGTTACATCAATGTATATACTGCTTAAAAACCATAACCTTGCATTAAAAAAAAATTCTGTCTTATATTGCATACGCCATGAGGAAAAGTGCAAATTTATTTTCACTTAAACTGATAACTTACACCAATAATAGTTTTATCACTATATCTGCCCCTACCTTTTGGTGATGTAATTTTTTGATAATAGAAAATGTCCCGAGAGTTTTGAGGGAGATTTCTCATGTAGTTAGTAGATTACAATAAAATATCAGTAAAAAAATCTGTGCTACAACAGAGAGCTTCTCAGATGGTTTTGAGTAATTTTGGCAGCCAAGAGATTGCTGCCTAGCTTCGGAGATCGAACAAACCTTTAAATGTCCCGACCTCACCTTTTTTGTCTTTAGAAAACTTGCATCTAAACGTATTGATTAGTCAGTAATTCAGTGCAGAGATATTATGTAGAAACATTTAATATCCAGTTTCATCTTTGTTATTTCATAACATTTGCACATTTGCCGTATATACTGCTGCGTCAGTTTCCTTGTTTAACTTCATCAGTTGAAAGGAAGCATTGACTCGTAAGAAACAGTTTTTGAGCCGATACATTGACTTTTACAACCGTAATATTGCAGTATATTTGTACGAAAGTGAAGTTATTATTTTTATTTTGATCATCATTATCATTATTATGGATTAGCCGCATCTTTTCCCTTGTATTCCCTTTTGTTACATACAGTGTAAGTCAAATGATTACTAAACGATGTCACTTGATCACTTGTGTGAAACAAAATGATCGCAAAACGATGTCACTTGATCACTTGTGTCACAATCAGGGTTGGTGGAGCAGAAAATATCTCGGACGCCAAATAGCAAATTTATTAACTTCTGATTGCTTCGATGCGTGCTCCCAAAATGATTCAAAGAAATAAATGTGACCGTCACGCGGTTGATTTTCAGCGCGGATTTTGCAACAAGCAGGAACAACTCTCCATTAAGGTCCTTTTTCAATCGAACAAAATAACACACAATTCAAGCAATCATGTGCATTGAATTGGTATGCTAATATTACGGTTCAGTCAACACTATAAAGTCTACCATTTATTTCCACTCGAGGCGTATTTGTAATTTCTGATTTATTCATTCTACTGCACTGTCGTACATATCCGTTGAATCCGAAACACTTCAACCCAATAGACCACCTACAGTTAAGGATCATTTCTAACACACCTCGTTGAAAAAATATTCGCCCATGACACAAAAACGAAGCAACTTAATTCGACTGATCGATGTTCCAGTGTATAATTTGCCTATCATCGGGACGTTTTTGAAATCATGTTAATGTGCTAGCTCTAGGCGCCGGTGTTCTTTTCTTTACTAGTCTGGCTCACTCTTGGCTGTAGCTAAGCGAATAGCAGTACTCAGGAAAGTTCATATCGAAAAAAGATCCAGAAACGAATGCAAAAGTTTTTTTGGAAAATTGGAAATCATCGGAGCACAACAACTATTATTTTGCATTGTTGTGGCATACGTATGTCACACTAAGGACAGGCATTAACGAGAAGGGAATGGAGACAATAAGTTTTCGCAATTTCCGCCTCTGCCAAGACCTCCCCTATTAAGGTTATTAACTTGTGTTGTTTTAGAACGGAAACATGTCGTGACAGGAAGTCGGTGTCATTCGCGTGGCTGTTCATTCGAAATCATCTTTCATAACTCAAACTTTCGAGCTAAAAATCAAAGTAAAGTTTCAGTGAGTTGCGCGTCGTAGAGGTCAGAGCCTTGTGAAGGAATATAGCAGTCAGCAAAAAGGTATTCACTGGGTTGGTAAGTTGGTAAGTGGTTCATACAAGCTCATTGCCGCTTCCCTGTGTGCCCTGGGTGTATGTACTTGCTTCTAAACTTTTTCATTGGAGAGAAAAGGGAATTTTAAACCATTTAGTTTTAGAAACTCAGTGCAATTTAGAATTTTGGTGCATTTGGACGATAAACATTTGCATTCAGTGTACTCAGGTTAAACGTCACGTCACTGCGTGTTAAATACCAAACATATTCCTTAGAGCTTTGGCATTTCATTGTTTTACCTGTTTTTAGTTATTTACAGTGGAAAACAATGTCTATGATAGAGTGTGTAAGCTGCAGAACCACTAGTTATTAAGAGAGCAGTATTTTGGGGCGATCAGTTTATTTATTAAGATTAAGAAACGGCCATGAAGAACAACTTTCTAAGCAAAACTAACTTGGATCGGTTTATGGCGTTAAATGTATTTAACGCTCATTTAATTCCACAAAATCTAGAAACCTATCTCCACCAAAGCGGGCAGGAGAAGGGACGAACTGATCTTATACTACAAGGAAACGAGTCTCAAATAGTATTCAGACAACACAGCGTGGGAGTATGTAGGCTTGCCCTCAAGCAAATTGGCATCGTATGTACTGCGACCATTGTTTACTGACGATTACATCGTTCAAGCAGCCTCTAAGGATCAGAGGTCGTAAAAATTAATTAGTTACTCTACTTGTTATTGGGATACCCATGGAAGAACATTACTTCTAAACTATCATTCTTTTATAGAAGAGTTAATTATGAAAAAATTTGATCTCATTTAAAAGAAGGAATCGGGTTTAACTCTCAAAATGTTTTATAAATTATCAAACAAAATAGTCAAAGATAATGTAGTATCGACTGATCTGTCAATACTGATTTATTCACGTCATCTTGCTACCAGACTTTCCGCAGGTCGGTAATACACTGATCTTTTAGTTGAGTTGGAGGACTCAGTAGCTCTTGTGCAGTTTCGTTACTGAAAAAATTTCATTTGATCATCATTTCGTGACCTCGAATTAATTACGTCTTGATCTTTTCATTTCACATTAGATTGAAATGCTTGTACTGGTAACCAGCCTTACAGCATAGAAATGGCTCAAGTTCGTGCCATTGTTGTTCTTACCATCTTCAACACTATGATGGCTCATTGGGGTTGGTGGAAAGAGGGATTTTTATTTTTTTTAACCATGATACACAAACAGACGATACATGGTAATAGGAGCATAGGGTAAAATATAGACTGGACCATTGGACCCCTGGATTACTGGACTATTTTTTGGACTATTTTTTAGATAATTTTTGGACCATTATTTGGACCATTTTTTGGATCTTTTTTGGATTAATTTTTTTGGACCATTTTTTGGACCATTTTATTGGGGAAGAGGATGAAAGAAAATAATTTGTATGCTCAAAATAATTTGTATGCTCAAAATAATTTGTATGCTCAAAATAATTTGTATGCTCAAAATAATTTGTATGCTCAAAATAATTTGTATGCTCAAAATAATTTGTATGCTCAAAATAATTTGTATGCTCAAAATAATTTGTATGCTCAAAATAATTTGTATGCTCAAAATAATTTGTATGCTCAAAATAATTTGTATGATCCATTTAGACCTCCATTAATCAGTAGCATTTTCAAATACAACTACCTACCACTCTAATTGTTAGTTTTTCACCCCCCTCAGTAACAACAGTCTGCCTCCCACCCCTTCCTGAGTACTGATAAACTGCATCCCACCCCTCCTTAAGTACTTATGGTCTACCTCCCCCCCCCCGATAAAATGGTCCAAAAATTGTCCAAAAAATAGTCCCAAAAAAAAAAAAATAGTCCAATCGTCCAACAGTCCAGTCCATATTCTATCCTATGCTGATGATAGGAGATGACCTTTATAAAAAAAAACGTTTTAATTGCCAATCGTGTCCTTCACAGAGATCTTTTCACGTTCCATAAAGTGAGTGACGGAATCTCTATGACATAAGCGACGATCATTTGGATAAAGAAATATAATCGTTTAGGCTTTCACAGAGCTGTTCACGATAAGATTTCTTTTGTCTCGTCTGGCTTGGCCGCTTACTGAATTATTGAGATTTCCCGTGGGAGCTTATTGCTCGTCGTAACAAGAAGAAGATTAATTACATAATTTTAATCTAGTTTAAGCATTTATCATCGCGATAAGAAAAAAATGGAATTTTAATCTTAAATTACTGTTTTGTTCACTTTTGTGACCTGCAGGCGCTTCTGGCGCAAAAACATTCAGAGTTCACCACCAAAAACGGAATTACACAGACGCAGACAAAGCATGTAAAACAAAAAACCAAAGTGACCATCTCGCAAAAATTAGAAACGCTGACGACCTTCAGTTGGCTAAGAATATATCAAATACCACTAACGGCATGAAATATTGGACGAGTCTCCATGTCTGGTGAGTAACAACTATTTATTGCGTACTTAAGTTTATTCCGCTGTTCATCATTTTTGACAAATAATGTGTGTCGTAGTTTGATGCCATTAGTATTACTAATTAACAACCATTTACTGACAGATGTGGAGGTGGTTGTCTTGTTTTTCTCCAGAATATACTAAAACATTGAGATGATCTGTAAAAAGAAGAAAATCTTTAGCTCATTTGTTCCTGCAACGATGACAATATTTTCGGGCGCAAATCCCGCGCAAGTTGCCCCGAGGAGCATAGCAAAGGATATTTAGAGTTTGAGAAGCCAATTATGGCACGTCTTCAACGCTATCCACTGTTTTAGTATATGTATGATAAGGGCCCTCTTGATTACTCTATCTTTACGTTTGCACATTTTAATGCTATTTCTTTTCTGGACACGTTGGACATGTTCGTTACAGGATTGGCGATTGGAAATGGAGTGATAACAATACGGCTGGTATACAACTTATAGACGTTGTGAACAATTTTAATCGTACAGAAGCACAGTCTAAGGAACCTAGGAAGTTATGCTGTATGGTAACCCATGATACTCTCCTAGAGTGCACTAACTGTAGTGAGGAGCACGCCTTTATATGTGAAGATTTCCAAGGTGAGAAATGATGATGAAATACAGTCCAGCAACTTCATTTATGACTCTTGCACCAAGAAATTATGTAAATTCTCTGCATTTACAGAAACCCTAGTACGACATCATCATTTCGATGTAAAATTTAAAAAATAGATGAAATATTATCAAAGATTTTCAATTTTTTTTTAAATCAATATCATTATTTATCCTTATTTTCCTTCCACTGATAAACAGAGAGTAATTTTACTCAAGTGGACACTAATTCTAGGTAAGTACAATGAAAATTTGACAAAAACGTTACGGCCTCTTCCCTTTCCAAGCTAATTTTATAGTAACTCAAGCTGCAATTCATCATCTCCCTTTTGTTAGTTATTAATTTGTTCGTCCTGATGTCTTCTATCATTCATTAGTTAATTCTAATTGGTTTGTATATCTTTAGCTGCGTTCCAGCATTTCCTCCAGTCGAACCATCTGCAAGAAACGCTTCTTGTATATTTTATGAGTATAAAGACACATTTTGCAAGGACATAATCACAAGTCTGTATGTTTATGGTAACCAAAGTACATTGGATTATGGTGAAAAGGAAACGAACACCTTTGGTGGCTACTTCAAATGGTTTGATATCTCTCCGAAGTGTAGACCTGTAATGAGAAATTTGCACTGTCGCTATCACTTTCCGGCGTGTGATGAAACATTGGACGAGCCTAAAGATCGCGGGCTATGTCGCAGCTCATGCTTGTATTTGATGCAAGATGTTTGTAAGTCAGAGATGAAGTTTCTCATTGGAGCATCAAAGGAGGCTCCAGTGTTCGACCAGAAATTGATAAATTGCTCACTATATAAGCCGGCTAATGGTGGAGATGCTCCTGAGTGCTATGGGTGGCCAGATATCCCTGGTGCGTATATTACTCACGGTCATCATCAATCCTTTCTGTGTTATCAATTTACCTGGGACTAAAAACAAATCGTTGACTTTGACAAACAGAGAAACACGAAACCAACGAGAAAAAAAGTTTATCTGTATACTTTGTTAACCAGTTCACATAGCAGGTGTGTGGGGATCAGAGCTTGTCAGAACTAGTATCTCAGGCCTTCTAGTTCTGTTCCAAAGTTAAGCTCCACTGTTCAGGAAGTCGGTGCACGATCCCAGAGAATGATGCTACTTTGTAAGCAGCGTCATGGACAAGGCATGGCGTCATTCTCAAATTAAACTTGGCGAACTTGTTTATGATCCTAACAAAATATTCGAATATTTTACATTGCCCTTATGACAGAAGGGGTGATGAGGTGAAGAGAACTGGCAAGAGAACTCAGAAGAAAGCTAGAGCTCCCGTTATACAATAGTAGACTTTATTATTGCACAAGCGGCGCGACTCTTGGTCAGTGGGAACATTCAGTGCAACACTTCGACACCTAGAATGACGATAGAATCCTTCAAATTTTAGTATGCACCCAAGATTACAACCTTTACAATTTTTTTTTAATACTTTGTTATCATTTCTTGACACGCATTCCAATATTTTTTCTCTTCCCATAGGTGATGACACAAAAACCACAGGTCTGCTTTTGATGTTCTGAGTTTTGATCTGTATTTAAATAACTTATCTGATACTGTCAAACCCCTATTAACTTAAGTAATTGAGAACTACTTCACGCAGAAAAAGTCCCCAGTCATTCGCTCTTTAAAGCCTTTGAGGACGGTATTACCTGAGAACATTCTCAGTGGTCTAAGTTAAAAGCGCAAAATTATGACATTGTTTGTAGAATAAGCTCCTTCAAGATATTATAATATATTGCTTTCTTTAATGCATCACTGTTGCAAACTGGATGACTTTTGCACACTCTCGCCCTCCGATCTATAGCTTCTATAGCGATTTGAAAGGGTACATTAATGTTCAGTGCACGGATACTCCACGTTTGCACTGCCATAAACTCAAATATCCAGTTTCTCTCAGATTGTTACTATGGAGTGGGTGTTGGTTACCGTGGAAATGTGAACGTCACCCGATCTGGTCGTACATGTCAGTCTTGGAAATCCCAGTGTCCTCATCGTCACTGGCGGATCCCTAAAGACGTCGCCAAATCCAAAAATGACTCGAACCTGTGTCGTAACCCGGATAGCAGTGCCCCAGATGGACCGTGGTGTTATACCACAGACCCAAACGTCCGATGGGAATATTGCAACGTATCTCGTTGTCCTCCAAGAGGTAAAGTCAACCACTGAGAAAGAGAAATAATTAGAGAGATTGAAATGTACATCCAAATATGAGTTCATCAAAAAGTAATATGTATTAGATAATAAGCGGGTTTTTTACGGGGAGAACTCATGTGGCTGTAAATTTCAAAATCAGACGCGGAAAAAGGTTTGGGTCATAATGACTGTTGTTAATCGCGACAACTATCTCGATTGCACTGTCTCAATATTAATTAGAATTTTAAATGCGTTTGTTGTTGGCCTCTCCGTGCACTAGAATTACCGCCACCTCCGAGACGCTTCACAGTAGAGAATGTTCAGACAAGATATTTTATTTTGAGTTGGAATAAGCCAGAAAATGCCAGCCTTTACCAAATACAAAACTACGCTGTAGAAAGGAGGACATCAAGATCGGAAAACTTTATATTAGTGAAGACAGTTCCGTACCCTGATACCCAAATGATTTTGGAGAACTTAGATCCCTCCACAGAATACACCATCAGATTATCAAGCAACAATATGTATGGAAGGTCAGAGGGTGTATTAGTAACACAGAGGACACTACCTGGCAAGTATTAAAATATCTCATGTAGGGTCCTCCTTTAAACAAGTTACACTCTTGTGAATTAGTGGCTTTTTTCGCGCTCTTTTCGTAAATACAAGAGTAGAGCCTTTTATTACAAACTTAAAGAAAAAACTTAAAAAAAAAAAGTGAAACAAAAAACTGAAACATGTTTGCGTAATTCCCCCTTGCAAAATTTCATCTGACGGCAGTCTCTTTCTCCCTTAAAAAAAAGTCATTCGCTAGTGGTTGTTTCTGTTTACTGAAGCATCGCAAACATTCTTGACCGAATTATGTCTGAGATATATCTTAGATTTCGCTGAGGTTGAACTGATGATACATGTAGATGGTTCAACTTCCGAGAATCCAAAAAACTAGTTGGGTGCTTTAAACTTCTACTCGGAATTGACCACCGTGAATTTTGTCAAAACTTCAACATGGTCATTTATTCTCATTAGGCTCCTCGTTATCAAAACCAAACTTCCGATAAAATGTTAACAGTTAGCTCCATATTGCGTTAAATTATTCTGAGAGCACTCTGTTAATTTCTTTTGGTTCATTTTTCCATTTTTCCAGACAGATTTATTAGGAAATTGATGCTGCAAATAGTATTGCCACTGAGCTTAGCATCTTTATTTGTTGTGGTCGTTTGCATCAAGTATGGACCTATTAGAAATTCAAAGCGTGGCAAAGTGTATTCTGAGGTAATCAGCCTAAATTTGTACTTTTATTTTTTAGTCAGTGAAGTTCATGAAAATATGTGGTTAATTTTATATGATTCTTTTTTTCCCTCCAGAATCAGACACCGCTCTCCACTCTTTGCCACTGGGTTGAGATTCCCAGAACAAATGTTACACTACAAGAGAAGTTGGGGGAAGGTGCCTTCGGAGAAGTGTACAAAGGAGTGGTGTGCATGGGCGGACAAGTCAGGGCATGCGCAATAAAGACTGTTAAAGGTAAAAAGTATCAGTGTTCTAAATGATTGTTCTAAAAATTGATCAGTTAATTTTCTGACTAACTGGTTGAGTTACTTATTGGCTGATTTCCCCACCGACTTACTGATACGTTTATGGATTGATTAATTAACGTGTTTAAAGACATGTTTATTTATGAGATTTGCACCCTTTTGGAACTAATGAAACAAAGAATATTCTATTGCAGAGAATGCCAGAGAAAGGGAAAGGAAAGACTTAATAAACGAGCTTCAAATCATGGTCACAGTTGGTGATCATCCCAATGTCGTAAGCCTTATTGGAGCTTGCACAAAGTCTGGTAATTATTGAATGAACGATATGTAACTGTCATGATTTTATAATCCTTAACATGAACAGTCCCCTCGTCCTTTTGCCTGTCTACCCATCAGTATGTTTTAAGTAACTCACTTGCCTTAATAAAGTTTTGCCTCTCTAACGAGCTACCTTTGATGGAATACCTAGGGTCAATTTTAGTGATTGTTCGTCTGGCTCCGAATGGCTGCTTGTTGGACCAACTGAAGAACAGAGAGAATCCATACGAAGATGATACGGAAAGACAAGTCGGTTTCACACGCGTCGACAAAGTGAGGATTGCAAGAGACGTGGCCTGTGGAATGTCTCACCTCGCCAGCAAAAAGGTAGTTAAAAAATGAAACAAAGAATACCTTCACTTTCAATCGACAGGCCTACCTACTTATCATTAATATCATTACATTATCATTCTGAATTTATCTCGCAGTGTGTTCATCGAGACCTCGCGGCAAGAAACGTGCTTCTTGGCGACAGGAATGTCGCCATGGTTTCTGATTTCGGCATGTCACGTGATGTGTACGAGAGTGGTGAATACGAAACTCTTTGCCGGGTATGGCTATTCCCTTTATTTGTTAGAATGACTGGGAGGGAGGGGTTATGCAACTTCAAAGAAGTCACACTTTATTGATTTGAGATGTTTTTCTTGCCTCCTCCACACAAACTTATCATTGTTTTCGGTCAGTGTCGTCAAAATCTGCAACTATGAGTGTTTGTGGTGTAGAAGTATCAATTGAAGCGCCAGTTAAGTTTTCCTAACGCGTACTGTGATCATTCTAATCATGCCAGTTCTTCTGTCCAACAGGAAATGTTACCAGTTCGTTGGATGGCTCTTGAGTCTTTGGAGGATTTTGTGTACAATACAAAGACAGACGTGTACGTTATAAATAAAAGAAATTGCGTGAACGCGAGTGCATTTTGTCATCAATTTGCCCAAGTTATATTTTTAAATTTATTGCATTGCGTGAACCGAAGGCAAGTTAAATCTGAAAAGCTTTCAAACCATAATGAAAGACCATTACTCTCGAAATGCGCGCGTAGTTGATTCAATTTCTTGTTTATCATAATTGTTTTCAGTAGCATCACCTACATATGCTACCTTGTTGATCACTGGTGATCATTATTCATTTTATTGGGATCTTCCTGAGTGATCTGAAAATTCCAATACATTCTCTGCCAATTGGTCGTTTTACATAATAATTTGGGCGGATATACCGAGCTCAAAGTTCTCGTAGCAATTAGCGATCAGCATGTCTAATTTCGAGAGAGTGGAACACGGATATCCTGTACTGCATTCTATGGCCTGTTTTTACATTCGTAATTGACCATTACCACCGAGTTCCTCTTTTGAATATGTGATAAGCTTTAGAAAACTGCAGGGAACTGTGGTAACCTAATTCCACGCTTCCTGGAAAAAAAAGTCAAAACTAAAAAAAAAAACCGCTGGAAACGTATCTAATTGTTTCCATTGCCTTGAGAAACTGTAATGACCAAGTTGAAGAATAATTTTCGGAGTTCTCATCTCTTTTCATTTTGAAATTTCTTCTGAGAAATCAAATGAAGAAGTTTCTGATAATGAAAAATTTCTTGTTTTTTTTTTTTGCTGACAGGTGGTCGTTTGGAGTTTTATTATGGGAGATCGAATCTAGAGGTATAGTTGTAACTTGAACTGAACAACTACTGGGTTATCTTTGTTATTAGTGCTTTCTGAACGTTATGCAGAGTATCCTAATGTTTGAGATGGAAACAAATATAGTCCGCCTTTTTTTTAAAGGTAAAATGCCGTATACCGGTCTTATAGCCAGGGAAATTGTCGAATTCTTGAGGAAAGGAAAAAAATTATCAAAGCCGGAAGGATGCCCGAATGAAATGTAAGAGGTCGTTGATGGAATGAAAGTAAGTTCTGTCATAATGGTTCAGCTCCAAGAGCTGGCTGACTAGACTTTTTATTTTCCTTTCCCAGTTATGATTTGATGAGGTCTTGCTGGAATCTGGATCCGGCTGAACGTCCTTCATTTGCACATCTTTTAACGCGTCTTGAGGAAGAACTTACTAAAAACAAAGAGGTAGACATTTTGCATCCATGATCGGTAGAGCAAAAAACCGTTAACATTTTATATCCATTTGGGGCCAAACGAATAATCACTAATTCTGACCCAAAAATTTACGAGAATCGTTAAATATTTAAGTCGTGAAGCAAAAATTGCCGTTGAATGTCAAATTGTCTGTGCTGCATAATTGGGAAGGACGAAACCGAAGAGAAAACTACACGTAGGACATTAATAAACAGTTGGTATTCTAACAAGGATCAATATTAAAAGAAAGTTACCAATCTTGGTGCAAGCTCCAAGATTGGTTTATTAACTGTGACCAAGATTGCAAGCTCCCGTCTCTCTGTTTCACATTTGCCAAAAAAAAAATTATACAATTTACTGATAATAAAAGCATTCATGACCAGTAGAGCTTAGTATCGTTTATTTAGTAAAAGGAAATAAATAAGGAACATTCTCTTTTCCTTTATTTGATACATAAGCTGACAACCGGCTTGTTTTATTTTTTTATTTATAGGATGTCCAGGAGGATATTTGAACCGTAGTTCAAGGGTAGTCTGCATTTCACGCAGACTATTTACAACTACTAGGCTTATCCCTTTGAGGATACACTGAAGGAATAATTTTAAAACTAATTAGTCCGCGTTTTCATAAACATTGTCATGAAACATTGTATTTGTGAATACTGTGTTTGGTATTTCACGCAAAATTATTTGCATAGTTTCGTGAAAGTATACGCCTCCATTGCGTAAACGTTATATGAAAAGGTCGCCAAAAGATATTGTAACGAGCAGAGGGAGAGATCAGAGCCACGATTGTTTAAAGAAGTGACGTTTGAACTGTAATTAACCGGGAACTGAAGGACTGATAGATACAAATTGTAAGTATTATCGTTTTGCGCCCTCGCGTTCGCAAACGTATGCTACTGTAACTTTTTTTCTTATCATTTTTATAATTTCAGTTGACTGTGTACATATAGATATATGTTCGATCAGATCGGATAGAGTGCAATAAAATTCTTGAATCCTTGATTTCCGTGGTTGATCTTCAACTCTACCGGCTGTGTCTCACGCGTAGGCGCAGAACAAAGAGAAATACGAATTTCTCCACGGACCGGGCTAGAATGGAAACATTATCATATAGCTTAGCGAGCTTTGAAATATCTTTAGGCTGAGATTTGAATTCATTTGGGTCATCTTTTATGATTTTATTTTCAGTAGCCATTTGCGCAACGTATTCAGTGAGAAGCCTTTCATGTTAGCACAATTAAAATTCTTCAAGCATGTATGGGTTTTGATGGAAATAGTAGGGATGGTAAGTTTTGAGCTCGGTGAGGAATTGAGAAGGATGTTTTTTCGTCTTGTCACGAGCCAAAGACGTCCTGCTTCAGTAAGTTCAGTTACTCACCGATTTGTTTATAACAAAAACGACACTGATTGATTCTTTCTTCACGGTACCCACCTTTATATTCACTATTGGTAGCGTGGTGGGCATGTTGCTCGAGTCATCTTAAAAGATTAAACATTTCTTTTTAGAACACTGATTTTGATTAATAACTCTTATAACATGGCGCGCGTGCTTGCCCTATATAAGTCCCATTGAGCCGCTATGAACAAAATCTTTATTTACGCACGCCCGTGCGTAAGTAAGATGACGTGAGCAATACAGTGTTCGCAGCCAATCTGAGTCTTCTGCTGCAGCCTTAACTGTTCGTCAAATAACAGTGTGGTGGTTGCCCAGGAGAAAACTGCAAGTTTCCTGCAGTCTGTCTTCTCCAGTTGCACCGTGCACGGTAGCGTAAACATTATTTTGAACAATCAAAACCCTTGATAACTTCGGGTCTTTGACTTTTAAAACATTTTTTAGTGTCATTTGAGTTCATTTGGCTTTGATTTTCTCCATTTTCCCCGTAGATTTTCTGCTTTTCATTCACTGTTATCGGTTAAATGGACGTTAGTTTACTTTTTTTTTGTGCGTTGTGAGAATTTTGGTCTCTATCGCAATAAAAGGCTTCTTCGCGCAGATCCTTGTTGTCACTCTGTTATAAAAGAGTTTGCTCATGCTTCTAGCTGTGCGTATATCGAGTTATGGATGCACTTGGGAAGTTTGGAGAGCACTCA